GTTGACTCTGGTGCTGCTGGTGGTGCTGAGCCTGGGGGTGCTGAGTCTGGGGGTGCGGAGTCTGGGGGTGCTGAGCCTGCGCGTGAGGAGACTGGAGGTCCTGCGCCTGGGGGTGCTGTGTCTGGGGGTGCTGAGCCTGTGTGTGCGGAGTCTGGGGGTGCTGAGTCTGGAGGTGAGACGCTTGAGGGTACTGGGACTGCTGGTGCGCGGCCTACTTGGAGTGGCCGCCTTCGTCCGCGTGTGCCTCTCACCACTCAGCAGCTGCACGACTGGTACGGTCGCCGTCAGGGTCGCGCTCCTGGAGCCCGGGGCTCTACTACTGGAGGTGCTGGATCTGGGGGTGCTGCTGCGGGAGCCACTGTGGCTGGAGACCCTGGGGCTGGAGGTGCCAGCTCTGGGGGTGCTGCTGCTGGTGACGCTGGTTCTGGAGGTGCTGGCGCTGGAGGTACCGGTTCTGAGGCTGGAGCTGCTGGAGGCACTGGAGCTGCTGGAGGTGCTGGAGCTACTGGAGGCCCTGGCACTGCTGGAGGCACTGGAGCTGCTGGTGCTGGAGCTGCTGGAGGTGCTGGAGCTGCTGGAGCTGCCGGCGCTAGTGCAGCTGCGCCGACGCGACTGTTCTTCGCTCCGCCGTCTCCGTCGTCGCTGCCGCCGCCTGACTCTGTTCTTCGTCAGGTTCTTACTCTCCCGTCGTCCACTGGTCTTCCGTTACAGCCTGGCTCACCGCTTCCTGCTCCTTCTCCTTACACTGAGCAGACAGGTAGTCTTGCTGAGCGTCGTGAGCCTGCGTCGCGTCCTGTCTCGCCTGTTCGTTCTGGTCGTACCGGTCGTCGTGTCGCTCGTGTACGTCAGCCGGCTGTCCCCAGCGCACACCTTGTAGTCCGTCGTCCTTCCTCTGCTCCGCAGTCTGCTCCTCTGCCTTCCCCCCCTGCGTCCTCTCTGCCTGCCGTTCCGGACCCTGAGTCTGACCGGTTTCGTGTTGAGCACCCTACTGTCACGCGTCTGTTAGCCACTGTTGTCACTGACCCGTCGTTTGAGTCTACTGTTGCGTCTGCCTTGGTTGCTGAGCTTGTTGACTTTGCTGCTGCCTGTCGTCTAGACTACGCCACTAGTCTTGTTGCTGAGTCTGAGTCTGTCTGTCCTCCGTTCGTCGGGGGTGAGTGTGCTTTTAGCACGGACGTCCTTGAGGATAGGCAGGAGGAGTTCCAGTGTCTTGCTGCTGCTTTACCTCATCTTGTGTCCTCACTGCTTGCCCCTGAGGGAGACCCGGATGCACCAGACATCCCGACTCCGCGCTCTTACGCAGAGGCGATAGAGGGTCCCTACTCCTCTCAGTGGCAGGCAGCCATGGACGCAGAGATGGCTTCCTGGAAGTCCACAGGCACCTACGTTGACGAGGTTCCCCCACCTGGGGCGAACATCGTCAGTGGCATGTGGATTTTCAGGGTGAAGCGGCCGCCGGGTTCTCCGCCTGTCTTCAAGGCGCGTTACGTGGCTCGAGGCTTCAGTCAGCGGCAGGGAGTTGACTACTTTCAGACCTTCTCTCCCACCCCGAAGATGACCACTCTTCGGGTGCTGCTACACATAGCCGCTCACCGTGACTACGAGCTTCACTCTCTTGACTTCAGCACAGCTTTCCTACAGGGCAGCCTGCACGAGGAGATCTGGCTGCACCGCCCACCTGGCTTCACTGGGTCGTTTCCTCCTGGTACCCAGTGAAGCCTCCGGCGGCCAGTCTACGGTCTCCGCCAGGCGCCGCGTGAGTGGCACGACACACTGAGGACTACGCTTGCGGCTCTTGGGTTTGCTCCTTCTACTGCCGACCCGTCACTGTTTCTGCGCACTGACACCTCTTTGCCGCCGTTCTACATCCTCGTGTACGTCGACGACTTGGTCTTTGCTACTGCTGACACTGCCGGACTTGCCCACGTGAAGTCCGAGCTGCAGAAGCGACACACGTGCACAGACCTGGGTGAACTGCGCAGCTACCTCGGCTTGCAGATCACCCGGGACAGAGCACGGCGCACCATTACACTGTCTCAGTCACACATGGTGCAACAGGTCCTTCAGCGCTTCGACTTCACGTACTCCTCGCCTCAGGCCACTCCTCTGTCTACTCGCTACTCGCTCTCAGCTCTGCCTTCGGATGAGTCCGTAGAGCCGAGTGGCCCGTACCCAGAGCTTGTTGGCTGCCTCATGTACCTGATGACCTGCACGCGACCTGACCTTGCATACCCTCTTAGCATCTTGGCACGCTATGTTGCTCCTGGGAGACACCGACCAGAGCACATGGCTGCAGCGAAGAGGGTGTTGCGCTACTTGTGCAGTATGTCGGGCATGGGGCTAGTGCTTGGTGTCAGAATCCCAGCCACTAACCACTAGGATAAAAGGGCTTGTTTGTGTGGCGGGTGAGTGCGCCCATAACCCCCCAGGCCAACGTGCCTGTAACCCTTCCCTAGGATCAACGGGGATCACCAGTGGACCTCTGACACCCCCCCGCACTGGGATGCCCGAAGTGCATACACCGGGATTCGAACCCGAGACCTTTGCTCTGATACCATGTCAGAATCCTAGCCACTAACCACTGGGATAAAAGGGCTTGTTTGTGTGGCGGGTGAGTGCGCCCATAACCCCCCAGGCCAACGTGCCTGTAACCCTTCCCTAGGATCAACGGGGATCACCAGTGGACCTCTGACACTTGGAGGGCAGAGTCCAGTGGTCCTCACTGGTCACGCAGACGCGTCTTGGGTTGACGACCTGGCTACGCAGCGGTCGTCACAGGGTTACACCTTTAGCCTTGGTTCCGGCTCTGTTTCGTGGCGGTCTACCCGCTCGTCGTCTGTTCTCAGCTCCAGCTGTGAGGCTGAGATCTACGCAGGAGCCATGGCTGCTCAGGAGTTACGCTGGCTCACCTACCTGCTGACTGACCTCGGAGAGCCGCCTCGTTCTCCTCCAGTTCTGTACGTAGACAACAAGGCCATGCTGGCCTTGTGTCGGGAGCACAGACTGGAGCACAGAACGAAGCACATTGCTCTTCGCTACTTCCTTGCTCGTGAGCTGCAGCAGCGTGGTCAGCTGCGCCTTGCGTACGTGGCCTCTCAGGCCAACACTGCTGATATCTTTACCAAGGCACTTCAGCCTTGTGATCATCAGCGCTTTTGTACGATGTTAGGTCTTGTGCCTACTTGGCCGCACTTGCTCACTTCTTGACCTTGCTTTGTACTGTGTTCTATATACGTGCTCTTGCTTGTTTCTCGTTATATAAATTGACCTTGCATGTGAACTGGCCTTGTGGCCTTGAACCTGTGCTCGGAATGTGTGGTGACATTGTGATCCACCCTGAGCTTGCTTTGTTTTGCTTTGCTTGACTGGTCTTGTGACCCCTTGTTCTCCCCCACTTTGCCTATGGGGGTGTGTCAAACATTTATGATATAGCCTATTTAGGCTGTAGTGGGGTAAACGCTAAGGGGTACAGTTTCGTAGGGTTTCTTACTTGTACCCAACTCATTTCCTAGTCAATCATTCTTCACCCTTCACACGAATGCATTTGTACAAATGAACACAGCATGAAGTGTGGTGCGGATGCTTCAAGAGATGTTAGACTGTATCAATGTAGCAACAGAGATGGATGGGGCCGTCGAAACAGCGAATACACGCTGCCCCAACGACGATGACAACCTCTAGTTGCATACACGATACAATGTAACACCTTGCCTTGAAACACACACATCTCACAAACACGAAATGCAGCACGTCACAAAAGTTGTGAATACATCATAATGGATGCTCAATATGCACCAATGCTGCAGCTGAGGTTGATGGAGTCGTTGACACAGTGAAACACACTGCCCCAACGACGATGACAACCTCAACTGCAAACACGATGCATACCAGCACCACACCTTGAAATAATCACAACCAACTGACACACACACAAGCACACATACCCACGCACGTACGATACACAAACACACATACACACACATGCGCTGGCACACATATATATACACACGCATACATACAATGAGGAGGGGAGAGCAGAGCAAACGAGCATGACAAAGAGTCAGACACTAACACACATGCACACACTGGCGCACACACACACAGACACAAATAAGCACAGATACATACAGACACCGATGAGAATCACCAACCATCACCAATGGAGTTCAGTTACCATTCATAAATCATCGCTAGCCTATCCCCTCTTCACCCTCCCTACACCCCTCTTTCCCTCCTTCCCTCATCTCCCTCCCACCCCTTCCCTCATCTCCGTTCTCCGCCAAACAAATTCAAGAATGCAGCTCATACGCCCTGCACACAGCAAAAGCAGAGAATGCAAAGTACATGCCCTGCACAAGAAAAAGGCAAAAACAGAGGATGTTCACACACTGTGTACAAAAAAGCACTAAAACATATAGTGTAACTTACGTGCCCTGCGAAGAGGCCAAGCAGGAAATGCAACCCACCCATAGAAAGCAAAAACAAAGAGTACGCCTCACAGCAGTGCACATGAAAACAAAAAGAGAGAATGCAGCTCACACATGCACTAGAAACGAAATAAGAACAATAGAAAATGGTGTTGAAGAATGCATAGATCAATCAAAGACAGCAATTATAATTTCACAAATCACATTGCTAGATTGGAAGAAGTCATGGCACCACAGATACTACACCGGAACGATGCAATACCTTGCAGCCACCCTCACGTTCAGCTTCTTCCTCACGTTCGCACTCACTCACACCGCACAAATACTCTCAACTTTCTTAGACACTCACAGAAACAAGCATATAAATCTACTCGCTCATTCTTGCACAAACCCTCGCACTTATGATCGTTCTCATTCACAATAACAATCACACAAAAACTTACAAGCGCACGCAAACACACTTGCACGCACCCTTGCACTAACACTCGCACTTGCTCTCGCACTCACCCTAGCACACACAGTCGCACACACTCTCATCCTCGCGCGCACTCCCTCTCATCCTCGCGCTCTCTTATGTGCTCTCTAACGCGCACTCTCTTGAGTCGCCCACGCGTCTCCCACGTGCACCCTCATGCGCTCTACCACACGCCCTCTCACGCACTCACGCGCACTCTCATGTGCTCTCTCACACGCTCTCTCACGCGCTCTCGCACGCGCTCTCTCCTGCGCTCTCTCACACCCGCTCTCACGCACACTCTCATGCGCACTCTCACGCGTTCTCTTCCGCGCTCTCTCACGCGAACACTCACGCGCCCCTTCACGCGCCCCTTCACACGCTCTCTCACGCGCACGCTCACGCGCACCCTCACGCACGCTCTCACGTTCTCTCTCACGTGCTCTCTCACGCGCACCCTCACACGCACTCTCAAACGCTCCTTCACGCGCATTCTCACACACTCTCTCACACGCTCTTTCACGCTCTCTACGCGCACTCTCACAAACACCCTCACGCGCACTCTCACGCGCACTCTCACGCGCACTCTCATGCGCTCTCTCACGCGCTTGCTCTCACGCACACTCTCATGCGCTCTCTCACGCGCTTGCTCTCACGCGCTCTTTCACGCGCACACTCACGCGCTCTCTCACGTGCTCTCTCATGCGCTTGCACACGCGCTCTCTCACGCGCTCTCTCATGCGCCCTCTCACGCGCACTCTGACGCGCGCTCTCACGTGCTCCCTCGCGCGCTCTCCCACGCGCACTCACGCGCTCTCTTACGCGCACTCTCACGCCCACTCACGCGCACTCTCACGCGCACTCTCACGCGCTCTCTCACGCGCACTCTCACGCGCACTGACGCGCTCTCTCCCGCGCTCTGACGCGCTCTCTCACGCGCACTCACTCGCTCTCTCACGCGCTCTCGCATGTGCTCTTTGACGCGCAATCTCACTCGCTCTCTCACGCGCACTCTCACGCGCTCTCTCATGCGCTCTCTCATGCGCAATCTCACTCGCTCTCTCACGCGCACTCTCACGCACTCTCGCATGCGCTCTCTGACGTGCAATCTCACTCGCTCTCTCACGCGCACTCTCCTGCGCGTTCGCTCCCGTGCACACGCTCTCCCTCGCGCTCCGTCTCTCCCCTTCTTCAAATGAAAGTGCAATGCAAGAGGAGACCAATGACACACAAAATTTACGAAGAAGCAAAAGAAAGAGAGGAAATATCAGAGGCGGAAGGGTGGATGAAAGGACCGGGAACGCACCTGATAACCAAGGTGCCTCAGAAAACAACCCGCGCTTGCGCACCAACCCGCGCTCGCACACCAACTCGCACCTGCGCTCGTGCACCTGTCGCCGGAGGCGACGGCCGGGAGGGAAGAGAGGCGACGGCGGGGAGGGAAAGAGAGACGATGGCGGGGAGGAGGGAGGGGCGGCCGCGGAGAGGAGGAAGAGGCGGCTGCGGAGAGGAGGAAGAGGCGACGGCGGAGGGAGAGGCGACGGTGGGATGGGAGGGAGCGGCGACGGCGGCTGGGAGGGAGGGAGACGCGATGGCGGGGTGGGAGGGAGCGCCGACGGCGGGGTGAGAGGGAGAGACGACGGCGGGGAGTAAGGGAGAGGATAGTGGGATGAGAGGAAAGGCGACGGCTGGGTGGGAGGGAGTGGCGGCGGCGGGGCTAGGTAAGTCGTGACTGCAGGACTGGGAATAGGGGGGTCCAGAGGAAGAAAAACTCTAGGTGGGGAGGAAAGGGCCTAGTCTATGGTGCTTGTAAACCAAGAATCAAGAACCAAGAAGAGTCAGCGTCGAATTCGAGTTGACAGGTGTGCTGCGCAACATAAATAAACACTACTTTCCTGTTGCAAAAGCCTGTAATGTTTTTTTCCCGAGTCTATTGTCACAGTGAAAAGGTGATTGTATCATTAAGATATTACTTTGGCTATGTGGTGTTTGTGACTCAAAACTTGTCACCAATAGACAATGTGAATTCAGTTTGCAATAAATCTGTCTGTGACCTGGTTGAACTCGCAACAAACGGGACTGAACCTAAACTCATATTTTTTGTACCAATAAAAAAACTGAGTTTGTAACAAGAAAAAGAGTAGGATGTGGTGCAGTGCGCTCCGAAACCATCCACACACGACACGAAGCAGAAACAAGCAGGCGGGAACAGAAAGTGACAAAAGAATCACGAAGAAGAACAGCGAGCGAGCAAGAACTAAAGAGCCAAAACGGAACGTGGGCACTATGCAAATCAAATATCACGTTTAAACAGAACATGGGCACTTGACCAAAAAAAAAAAAAAGGCAAACACGAACTTTGAGGGAAAATATGTCACAAGTAACCAACTTGGGGCTCGATAACATGAATGGTAAAAAGAACAACAGATTCACACAACAGGCAAAAAAATCACGCGAATGGTCACACATGTAACTCCCGCCAAAAAACCTTGAGACTCAACAAAATTCCCGCTCGCGCCCAACCAATCTGCTAACTTGTAAAAAAGCTAAAACCCAATCGGAATCGGATGCGGTTCGGGAACGGATCAACCCTAAACACCTGGCGAAATGGTGTTTATGGTTGATACTCCGAAAATGCATCCAGATTCTTTTCAGGTTTCATTTCGTTTTGGCGGGAGTTTCATATGTGACCATTTGCCATTTTTTTTACGAGTTGATTGTGACAGATTTGTCAAACAATGTGCTTGTGTTGTTGTTGTGTAGGCTACAGTGGGTTTGCCTTCAGGGGGGTACACAATTCTAGGGTTTCATACTTGTACTCCCATCTTCTCATAGTTCACACACTTCTCTCATTCTGACATGGTATTACGAGCCTAGGTTAGGAACCTAGGACCGTTAGGGCCCACCGTTCCGCTCGAAGCGCCCTCGTGCGCCTTCCCCCCCTTGCGCCCTCGTGCGCCTCGCTCCTAGGGCGCCCCCGAGCGCCCGGCTTTTCGGCCGCGTCGCCCGCTAGCCGCCCGTGTGCGGCCCGTTTTTTGCCCGCGCAGCCCGCTAGCCGCCCGCGCGCGGCCCGTTTCTAGTGCGCGCGACCCCGTAGCCGCCCGCACCGTCGCCGCCGCCCACGAGCAGCCCGCTAGCCGCCCGTCGAACGGCCCTGCTGGCCGTCCAGCGCGCCGCAGCCCCGCCCGTAGGCCGTCGCGTCGCTGCTGTAGGCCGACGCCCGCGCGCGACTGCAGCCCTCGCACAGCCGCCGCCTACGCCCAGGCCCGCCGTCGCGTCGCTCTGCCCGTCCGAGCCGCGCCGCGTACCACAGTCCGAACCGCGCCGCCTGACCGAGCCGCGCCGCCCTGACCGAGCCGCGCCGCCCTGACCGAGCCGCGCCGCCCTGCTGTGCCCCACCTGCAGCACCTGTTGTTCCTGTTACTACTACTGCTACTACTGCTCCTACTGCTACTGTTCCTACCCCTGCTACTACTGCTATGGCCAGTCCTACTGTACTCACCTTTGACGCTGAGGGCCGTCCGATTAAGTTCGATGTTTGGCTCGATGACCTTCACCTCTACCTTCAGATCACCGCCAAGGACGATATTTCCCTTTATGACCACACGTCCGGCGCCGCTCCCGCACCTGCTGCTGATGCTGATAGCACTTTGCGCTCACAGTGGCAGACCCGTGACGCTCATGCTCGCCTAGCCGTTCGCAGCCACCTGCCGTTAGATGAGCGCGAGCACTTTGGCCAGCATAAGACCGCTAAAGAGCTGTACGACGCAGTAGTCGCGCGCTACTCCTCCCCTGCCACTGCTGCTATAGGCCGTCTCTCACTGCCCTACCTCTTTCCCGACCTGTCCGCCTTTGCCACTGTAGCTGACCTCATCACCCACCTCCGTACCAGTGACCTCCGCTACCGTGCCGCGCTCCCCCCCGATTTCCTCGCCAAGAACCCCCCCCGATGTACCTCACACTGTACCACCTTGTCACCCGCCTCCCTGACTCCCTTCGCACTGTCAGGGACCAGTTTCTCGCTCTCTCCCCCACTGACCTCACTGTCGACCTCCTCGAGAAGGAACTCCTAGCAGCTGAGAAGAGTATTGTAGCTGTAGGTGCCTCTCGTGGTGACCCCCGCACCCCCTTCTTTGACGGGTGCTTCCCCTCCCCCCTCCTCCCCTCCATTGCATCTGCTGCTGCTGTCGACTACCTCGGAGCTGAGGGAGTCGGGGCCGCATCTACCCCTAGTGGGAGGCGCAAGGGCGGCAGGCGCAAGGGGGGCAGGGGTGGTGGAGGTGGAGGCGGGGGCGGCGGTGGTGAAGGGGGTGGGGGGGGCGGGGGTGGTGGCGGAAGTGGCAGTGGCGCGGGTGGTGGGGGGGTCAGTGGCGGCACAGGGGGTGGTGGCGGCGGCGGCGGTGGTGGGGGAGGTGGTGGCAGTAGTGGCGGCGGTGGAGCGGGTGGCGGGCGCGGTGGAGCGGTGCAGCGTGGGGGGTTCGGAGGTGGCCAGAAGCAGCCGCAGCAGCGTCCCGGCGAGACTCCCTCGCCCCAGCAGCTTCGTGAGTGGTACTCTCAGCGTGGGGGGTCTGGGGGTGGGGGTACCTGCACGTACGTCATTCGCACAGGTGACCGCGCTGGCCAGACTTGTGGGAGGTTCCACCCGGCACAGCGCTGCTTCTCTCGCCTCGACGACGCCTGGCGCGAGCAGTTCCCTGACGCCTCTGAGCTGCCTCGCTGGGCTGATCTGCTTAGGAAGGGGATTGATGTCTTTGCTCTTGATTATGATGCTATCCTTGCTGCCATGTATGCATTGACTATTAGTGCTGAGGGTGGCTGTTACCTGAGTGTGCCGCCCGACCCAGGTATTGGTACTGGTAAGGCTGCTGCGCTAGGTGCTCGTGCGTCTGCGTCTGCTGGTACTGGGTCTGCTGCGGCACTGCACACTTTCACACTGGACTCAGGTGCTTCCCGCTGTTTCTTTCGTGACCGCACTGTCCTTGAGCCGCTAGCTCGGCCTGTTGCTGTCTCCCTTGCTGACCCCTCTGGGGGCCCGGTCCTTGCGACCTCCTCCACTGTTCTCCCTTGTCCTGCGGCCCCGTCTGGCACTCTGTCGGGTCTCTACCTCCCCTCGTTCTCTACGAACTTGGTGGCGGGCTCTGCTCTCCAGGACGGGGGTGTTCACCAGTTCACCCCTGCCTATGAGCGGGTGACCCATTGTACGTGTGCTCGGACGGGTCGCCACCTGGCTACCTTCACTCGGCAGCCGGGGTCCGACCTGTACACACTGACCACTGAGTCCCCTCAGGTAGCTGCGTCAGGTCAGCTGTCGGCTCCCTGCTCGTGTCGCTCCTTGTCACACGAGACCGTCCTCTGGCACCACCGCCTTGGTCACCCCTCCGTGCAGCGCCTTCGTGGCATGCACTCCCGGTACCTTGTCTCTGGTCTTCCCAGAGTTCTCCCTCCCCTCCCACCCTCGCCTGCTCCTCCCTGTCTTCCCTGTGTCGAGGGGCGGCAGCGCGCCACCCCTCACTCCTCCTCGTTCCCTCCCACAGAGGCTCCTCTGCAGACTCTCCACCTGGACGTGTGGGGCCCGGCCCGCGTCCGGGGACAGGGCCACGAGCGGTACTTCCTGCTGGTCGTCGACGACTACACGCGCTACACCACGGTCTTCCCCTTGCGCACCAAGGGTGAGGTCCCTGATGTTTTGATCCCTTGGATCCGCGCCGCTCGTCTCCAGCTCCGCCAGCGGTTCCAGTCCGACTTTCCTGCGTCTGCACTCTGACAGGGGTGGTGAGTTTTCCTCCGCCCTCCTGGCCGCCTACTGTGCGGAGCACGGCATCCGCCAGACTTTCACTCTTCCGGACTCCCCACAGCAGAATGGGGTTGCTGAGCGCCGCATTGGTTTAGTCATGGAGGTCGCTCGTACCTCCTTGATCCATGCGGCTGCCCCCCATTTCCTGTGGCCGTTTGCAGTGCGGTACGCTGCGCATCAGCTCAACCTTTGGCCCCGTGTCTCTGCTCCAGAGACTTCGCCCACACTGCGTTGGACGGGGGAGGTTGGCGATGCGTCGGTGTTCCGTGTCTGGGGATGTCGAGCCCTTGTTCGCGATACGTCCGCGGACAAGCTCTCCTCCCGTGCCGTTCCCTGCGTCTTCCTTGGCTTTGTCCCTGACGCGCCTGGCTGGCAGTTTTACCACCCCACCTCGCGCCGTGTCTTTGCCTCTCAGGACGTCACTTTTGACGAGTCGGTACCCTTTTACCGTCTGTTCCCCTACCGCACTGCGCCGCTTCCCCCCCCCGCCGCTCTTCCTCACCCCAGGTGCCCCTTCGGTAGACCCCCTTCCTCCCCAGGGTCCTGCTCCCTCAGGTGTTTCCCAGGTAGACCCGGTCGAGCCTGTCGAGGTAGCTGTTGACTCTGGTCCTGCGAGGGATACTGCGCCAGGGGGTGTTGAGCCTGGGGGTGCTGAGCCTGGGGGTGCTGGGTCTGGGGGTGCTACACCTGGGGGTGCTGAGTCTAGGGGTGCTGAGTCTGGGGGTGCTGAGCCTGGGGGTGCTGAGCCTGGGGGTGCTGAGCCTGGGGGTGCTGAGCCTGGAGGTCCTGCCTCTGGTGGCGCTAGAGCAGGAGGTTCTGGAGCTGCTGTAGCTACCGCTGGTGCTGGAGGTTCTGGAGCTGCTACCGGTGCTGACGCTACGGGTTCTGAGTCTGCTGTTGTGCGGTCTCCTTGGAGTAGCCGCCTTCGTCCGCGTGTGCCTCTCACCTCCCAGCAGCTGCGCGACTGGTACGGTCGCCGTCAGCGTCGCGCTCCTGTAGCTCGGGACGCTGCTCCTGGCGGTACTTCCACTGACGTCACTGGAGCTGAGAGTGGTGCTGGTTCGTTGTCTCCTGGAGGTACTCGTCCCGATGGTACTCGAGCTGCTGGGGCTGGTGGTGCTGTGTCTGAGGGTACTCCCACTGGGGACACTGCGACTGGGGGTGCTGGTTATGGGGGCGCTGCTGCTGGTGGAGACAGTCCTGGAGGAGCTGCCGCTGGGGGTGGTGGAGCTGCTGGAGGTACAGGAGCTGCTGTTGGTGCTAGAGCTGCTGGTGCTGGCGGCACTACCCAGTCACGCCTGTTCTTCGCTCCGCCGTCTCCGCCGTCTCTGCCGCCGCCTGCCTCAGTCCTTCGCCAGGTTCTTAGTCTTCCGTCTTCTACCGGTCTTCCCCTCCTGCCTGACTCACCGCTTCCTGCTCCTTCTCCTTACACTGAGCAGTCCGGCGGTCTTACTGAGCGTCGTGAGCCTGCATCACGTCCTGTCTTGCCAGTTCGTTCTGGTCGCACCGTTCGTCGTGTCCCGAGTTCGAGGTCGCCGACTGTCCCCGGCGCGCACCTTGTCGTCCGTCGTCCTTCCTCTGTTCCACAGTCTGTTCCTCTGCCGTCCCCTCCTGCGTCGTCGTTGCCTCCTGACGTTCCGGACCTTGAGTCTGACCGGTTTCGTGCTGAGCACCCTACTGTCACGCGTCTGCTAGCCACTGTTGTCACTGACCCCTCGTTTGAGTCTTCTGCTGCGTCTGCCTTGGTCGCTGAGCTTGTTGACTTTGCTGCTGCCTGTCGTCTAGACTACGCTGCTAGCCTTGTTGCTGAGTCTGAGTCTGTCTGTCCTCCGTCCGTCGGGGGTGAGTGTGCTCTTGGCACGGACGTCCTTGAGGACAGGCACGAGGACCTTGAGTGTCTTGCAGCCGCTGCGCCTCATCTCGTGGCCATGCTGCTTGCCCCTGAGGGAGACCCGGATGCTATAGACATCCCTACCCCGCGATCCTACGCTGAGGCGATCGCGGGTCCCTACTCCTCTCAGTGGCAGGCAGCCATGGACGCAGAGATGGCATCCTGGAAGTCCACTGGCACTTACGTCGACGACGTTCCCCCTCCTGGGGCGAACATCGTCAGTGGCATGTGGGTTTTCAGGGTGAAGCGGCCGCCGGGTTCTCCGCCTGTCTTCAAGGCTCGTACCCTTTATTTTTTTACAAAAAATGTTTTCGAGTCCCATGATGGTTACGAATGGCATATTTTCCCGAACTTCGAAAGCCGTGTCACGTGAAACACACGCATAACCGTGTTATCCAGCAAAAGACACGTCGGTATGAGCTGGAAACATCTAACTAGTAGAATTTAAGTGCAATAGAATAAGATAGATGTAAAAAACATTGTCTTTTATAATCACAAAATTTCTTGTTTATACTCAAAACATTTTCAAGAGTACAGACTTGTACATAGTTAATGAATTGTACATCATTATTATAAATTTCCGAGCAATATATTAGCAACCTTGTCCCATTCTAAATACATAAGACAGACATTAAAAAAATTCCGTCATTTTGTTTCCCCACGACGAATACAACTCTACGCAACCCTTCCGACGTAAACGTCGAGTCTTGTTATTTCTTCTGATTCTTCTCGTCCTCCACCGTTCGTAGGTCCTAGAGTAGTGCCGTTAGGTCTTAGCGACGGTACCGTTCTGCGCTCCGCGTGGCTGCCGCCGTTCGGCGCTCGCGTGGCAGCCGCAAACCACCTCAACAAGCTATCGCTTCGAGAGGCACGGGCAGGCAAAGGCAGCAGCACAGCGTCGAGTGACGGTAACAGTTGCACACCACCTCGCGCTCGGCGATCGCCGGCAGCGGCGCAGCAATCTTCCTTGGTCGCCCTGCACACGCAGTGCTAGTATCAGCGAACACGCGGGAGTGCAGCGAGGCGGCGAGGGCGGCGAGGGCGGCGAGGGCGGGGGGGCGATGGAGGGGGGAGCGAAGAGGCCTGAAGATGTCTCTCTGCCCAAAGGTGCCCTTCCCAGGGCTTCTAGGCCCCGCGCTCTCATGCTAGGCCCCGCGCTGCGCTAGATGACCAGCAACGCTTGATTCCTTGCCGCTCCTCTACTCTCCAATCTGCACCCTCGACCCTTTACTCTTCAATCTGCACCCTCGACCCTTTACTCTTCAATCTGCACCCTCGACCCTTTACTCTTCAATCTGCACCCTCGACCCTTTACTCTCCGTGCAACGGCACTAGGGATCCCCCCTGTCCTCGCCAATCCAACTCCAGTGCCGTCCTCTTCTCACCTCCCCACAACTGTATCTTTCGCATTTTATTTTATTCTTCGTGGGTGTTTTCAGCGACAATGAGTCGCTTAATAAAGGAGATGCTACCACGGGACGTGAGGGTTTCCAAGGACACGCAAGACCTCCTCATGGACTGCTGCCTCGGTGGGTTGCGTTCACTCGGTGGGTTGAGCTGCCTCATGGACTCATGTCTCATGGACTCATGCCTCATGGACTCATGCCTCATGGACTCATGCCTCATGGACTCATGCCTCATGGACTCATGCCTCATGGACTCATGCCTCATGGACTCATGCCTCATGGACTCATGCCTCATGGACTCATGCCTCATGGACTCATGCCTCATGGACTCATGCCTCATGGACTCATGCCTCATGGACTCATGCCTCATGGACTCATGCCTCATGGACTCATGCCTCATGGACTCATGCCTCATGGACTCATGCCTCATGGACTCATGCCTCATGGACTCATGCCTCATGGACTCATGCCTCATGGACTCATGCCTCATGGACTCATGCTTCATGGACTCATGCCTCATGGACTCATGCCTCATGGACTCATGCCTCATGGACTCATGCCTCATGGACTCATGCCTCATGGACTCATGCCTCATGGACTCATGCCTCATGGACTCATGCTTCATGGACTCATGCCTCATGGACTCATGCCTCATGGACTCATGCCTCATGGACTCATGCCTCATGGACTCATGCCTCATGGACTCATGCCTCATGGACTCATGCCTCATGGACTCATGCCTCATGGACTCATGCATCATGGACTCATGCCTCATGGACTCATGCCTCATGGACTCATGCCTCATGGACTCATGCCTCATGGACTCATGCCTCATGGACTCATGCCTCATGGACTCATGCCTCATGGACTCATGCCTCATGGACTCATGCCTCATGGACTCATGCCTCATGGACTCATGCTTCATGGACTCATGCCTCATGGACTCATGCCTCATGGACTCATGCCTCATGGACTCATGCCTCATGGACTCATGCCTCATGGACTCATGCCTCATGGACTCATGCCTCATGGACTCATGCCTCATGGACTCATGCCTCATGGACTCATGCTTCATGGACTCATGCCTCATGGACTCATGCCTCATGGACTCATGCCTCATGGACTCATGCCTCATGGACTCATGCCTCATGGACTCATGCCTCATGGACTCATGCCTCATGGACTCATGCCTCATGGACTCATGCCTCATGGACTCATGCCTCATGGACTCATGCTTCATGGACTCATGCCTCATGGACTCATGCCTCATGGACTCATGCCTCATGGACTCATGCCTCATGGACTCATGCCTCATGGACTCATGCCTCATGGACTCATGCCTCATGGACTCATGCCTCATGGACTCATGCCTCATGGACTCATGCTTCATGGACTCATGCCTCATGGACTCATGCCTCATGGACTCATGCCTCATGGACTCATGCCTCATGGACTCATGCCTCATGGACTCATGCCTCATGGACTCATGCTTCATGTTGCCTCGCCACTTGCCGGGGTGGGTTGAGAGTGCTTGTATGAACGCAGTGCGGCAAGTCTTCTCTCTTCTCATCCACTCCACTCTCTTGCGTCATGGACTGCTCGTCCCCAATCCCGTCCTGCTTGAAGAATCATCCTGTGCGTGCAGAAAGGTTCTGTGCCCTCTAATGCCATATGCTGCGCTTTTGCGTCGCCTAGGCGTGCTTGCACCGCCACCACCATGCTTCGCCCCGCCCTCTCCCAGAGTTCATCAATCTGATATCATCGGAGGCCAACGAGATCTGCAGCAAGGAGGACAAGCGCACTATCGCCCCCGAGCACGTGCTGCAGGCGCTCGAGGTGAGATGGAGGGCGGTGGGGTGAGATGGAGGGCGGTGCTGTGACACAGGGGGAAGTGGGGTGAGAGAGAGGACGGTACGGAGTGAGAGAGAGAGGTGAGGTGAGAGAGAGGGCGGTGGGGGTGAGAAAGAGGGCGGTGGTGGGGAGTAGTAGAAGTAAGCCAGTCTATACCTTCCCTGCCGTGGCCTTGCCGATTGAGTCGCTTGGACATTTGGCTGCCTCTCTCCCCGTTGCTCGGTACCTCTTATCCTCTTCTGCTGCCTCTCTCCCCGTTGCTCGCCCTCACTTGCTCTTGTGCGTGCATGCAGTCGCTAGGATTCAGCAGCTATCTGGCGGAGGTGCAGGCAGCATACGACCAGCACAAGTCCGAAACACTGGTGAGTCGTGACCCACGCGCTCTCCATCACGCTCCTCCACACACTCCCCTGCCCTCTGCCGTATTTCATGCTCACTATGTTTCATGTTGCAAACCCACTATGTTTCATGCTGCAACCCACTATTCACCCCATCGCCTCCGCGTCCTCCAATGGGTTTCATGGCCTCTCATGGTGAGGGCCATTGACGGCGAGGCTGCTGCACTGCAGATCTGCGCTCACACGGGGGGCTGCACAGCACAGCCTCTTGGTTAGCGCACACGGCTGCGCCACTCACTTGCACTGCGTTGTGCTCCGGACTGAATCGTATGTGTGTGTGTGCCCACCTGTCCCACGCAACCACCAACCCACATGCTTGACTGTGATGGTGTCATGTCCAAGCCAATATGTCTTGGACCAGCATCTCTCCCACTATCTGCCTTGAGTGTTCTCACACCTTCCCCCCCTCTCTCTCTCCCTGCAGGACTCTCCGCACGCTCTGATGTGTTCGAGCAGCAGCAAGCCGTTCGTGTGACATGCATCTCTCTGACTCTCTGCCCTGCATGCTGCCCTCTCCCCCCCCCTTCCCCCCCTCCCCCCCCTCCCCCCCACCAACCCCCTCCCTGCCCCTCCCTTGCAGGATTTACCGCGCGCACTGGGGCGGTGGAGCAGCAGCAGCAAGGCATCTCTGACTCTCTGCTTTGCATGCTCCCCTCCACCCTCCTCCCTCCTCCCCACCATTTGCAGGAGTCACCGCGGGCGCTGGGGCGATCGAGCAGCAGCAAGGCATCGGGGGCGGCGGGGATGAGTGAGGAGGAGGCGATAGCGGAGCAGCAGAAGATGTTTGCCGAGGCACGCGCTGCCATGCTCAACCTGCAACGCCCCTCCTCCTGACTTCCCTTGCTTCCATGCTCAACCTGCAACGCCCCTCCTCCCGACTCCCTTGCTGCCATGCGCCTGCAGCACCCCCCTCCGGACTCCTACTGCTGCCATGCTCAACCTGCAACGCCCCCAATCTTACTACTGATTCCCACCTCTGCCATGCACCTATGTTACATTTGGCTCTGCGCTGCCTGTATTCTCACTGTGCACGTTCGTGCCCTTGACTCGTAGAGGTGCCATTCTTCTGTACTGCCGTTCTTCTGTAGCGCTGTTTCGTGTTCTGGTTTGTTCTGCATGTGTCATGTTACCGATAATGTCCCCGTGGACAACCATGGCTGTTGGGCGAGCTTGTGGGTGTGACGTGCATGGCGGTTCCGCTGGGATGTCAGTGCAGTGCAGTGCAGGGCTGTGTTGTGCTGTGTTGTGTTGTTTTGTGTTGTATTATGATCACCCAGTCCATGAGATGCACAAGAGGGTTGCAGGAGTGGGTGGAGTGGCGAGGGGAAAGCACACACCCAAGAGTGCTTACTACCTGGGTCCTATACTGAAACCTTTGCTTCGCGCTTCTAGTCTTGAATTCTTGAATCCTCTGTCATGGTTTATGACCGATAGTAAAAAGAAGAAACACGTCCTTAAAGATGGTATACATTCCAAGTTCCAACACACAAAGTAACCGCAGGAGAATTTCTCTATAACATGTATGCCACTCAATAGTTGGTGACAGTGGTTGAGACCGTCCCCTTCATGACAACGCCACTAACTGTAAGCGAAAGTTTAAGGCCGAAGGAGAATTGAACAGTCCAGTGTCGACTAACGTCTTGAAGGTGCCGACTGGCTGGGAAGCATAAACGAGCCCCACCTTTCGTGCAACATTGCAGCCCCAAACTCCAGTAGTACCGTTAGTTCCGGCTAGAAGACCCGCCGGTAAGAAGGTCCCCCGGGACTCTTGAATGGGTAGGGGGACTCTTATTGTGGCAAATATTGTGAGGACCCCCCCTTGGCCTCTAATCATCATAAGACTCCCCTTTTATGTCTAGAGTAGTTGTTATTGCTATTGTGAGGCATTTTTTACAGGCAAAAATTCGAATTCTGAGATTCATTTTGTGTCGGACTCGAATTCTGACACTTTGATTGTGTCAGACTCAAATTCTGACAGAAATCTGACGCGCCGCTCACGCGAAATTTGCAGCGAAGGCTTGTTTTTCGTTACGAATATAAGACCCCCCCTCCCCAAATTGAACTGTACACCCTAAATAACAGATTGATATATGATAAATAGGTGTACCACGGGTCTTCAAAATTTGCAACCGCCAAGATTTCCACCCTAGCATTTTTTCAAGCAATTCTAGAGAGTCCCCCGGGTCTTCTAGCCGGAACTATACGGTAGGATCGACGGCGAATGAGTAGAGGAACTCGGCCACCGCGGCGCCTTTGCCGTCGATGTACTTCGGATACGTAAAATATGAGGCCACCTTGGCGGCTCCATTTGAAACGCGGATAGTGAAGTTGGTCTCTTGGTAAGTGGTTGTGCTGCAAAGGGAAGGGGGGGTGGAGGGAGGGTGGGGAGACATGGAGGATGACAGGATGACAAAGATTGCAATTTTGCAAGTGCACTCGGAATGATCTCGGTAGACGTTCAGCGTGGTAAGAGTGAACGAGTCATGAATATGTATAGTCAGAAAAGAGCGAATAGACTGTCAGCTGTTAGGCAATGTGCTGTGTAGGCTGTAGTGGGGTAGCCAGAATGAGGTACAACCCAATTAGGGTTAGTACTTGTATCAACTTTCTCATCAATGCTTTCATCCCAGCTGCTAGATTCTGACATGGTATCAGACTAGGTCCTGTTCTAGGACCGTTTTTTTTAGGGCCCACCGTACAGTTCCCTGCCCGTAGCGCGTTACCCTGCTCGTAGCGCCCTACCCTGAGCGTCGCGCTGCCCCACCATTCGCGCTGCCCTGCCCGTGTGCCGCCCTGCTGGCTGCCGCGCACGCCCTGCCCTGCCCTGCGTTGCGCCGCCCCGCGCACGCCCTGCCCTGCGTCGCGCTGCCCGCGCACGCCCTGCCCTGCGTCGCGCCGCCCGTGCGCCCCTGCTGCCCGTCGCGTCGCCCGTGCGGGCTGCCCCAGCCCGTCGCGTCGCCCGTCCGGCCTGCCCTGCCCGTCGCGTCACCCGTGCGGGCTGCCCTAGCCCGCCACGTCGCCCGTACGCCCTGCCCCTGCTCGTCGCGTCGCCTGTGCGGGCTGCCCCAGCCCGCCGCGTCGCCCGTACGCCTTGCCCTGCCCGTCGCGTCGCCCGTACGGGCTACCTCAGCCCACCGCGTCGCCCGTGCGCACTGCCCCTGCCCGTCGCGTCGCCCGTGCGGGCTGCCCCAGCCTGCCACGTTGCCTGTACTCTCTGCCCCTGCCCGTCGCGTCGCCCTGCTGGCCGCGCGCCACCCTGTGCAGCCCGCGCGCTGCCCTTTTCTGCCCGCGTGCCGCCCTGGCAGCCTGCGCGCCGCCCTTGCAGCCCGCGCGTCGCCCTTTCCATACCCTACGCACTACCCTAGTGCCTGCTCGTCGCTCTGCCTTCCCTGCGTGCTGCCCTGCTAGTCGTACGCCTCCTTGCTTTGCCCGCTATGACTTCTCTTCGTGGTAGCAGTGGGAGTGGTGGCGGCGGCCGTAGTGGCAGTCGTGGTGGCGCTGTTCAGTGGGGAGTTTCTGGCGGTGGCCAAATGCAGCTGCGGCGGCTTTTGCGCGTGACCCTTACGTCCCAGCAGCTCCAAGAGTGGTACGCTCAGCGTTGTGCATCTCGGAGTACTACTCGCTGCCCGTACGTCATTCGCACAGGTGCTCGGGCAGGTCAGACTTGCGGGACACCTGGCCACACACAGTCCCACTGCTTCGCCTGTCTGAGCAACTCCTGGTGCGCAGTGTTTGGCGACGAGGCTGAGCTTTCCCGCTGGCTAGAGCTGCTTCGGGACAAAGTGGATATCTTTGCTCTTGACTATGATGCTATCCTTACTGCCATGTATGCTTTGACTGCTGGTACTGAGGGTGACTGTTACCTGTGTGTGCCGCCCGACCCTGGTATAGAGGCTGCTGCTCTAGGTGCTAGTGAGTCTGCTCTTTCTGGTACTGCGCCTGCTGAGGCCTTGCACACCTTCACGCTTGACTCAGGTGCTTCTCGCTGCTTCTTTCGCGACAGTACCACAGTCACACCACTCCCTAGACCAGTTGCTGTCTCACTGGCTGACCCCTCTGGGGGCCCAGTTCTTGCACGTTCCTCCACTGTTCTCCAGTGTCCGGCGGTTCCGTCCGGCTCACTGTCAGGTCTCCACCTCCCCTCGTTCTCGACGAACTTGGTGAGTAACGCGGTCCTTCAGGATGCAGGGGTTGATACCTTTACTCCTGGAGGCCAGTGTGTGGCGATCCGCACGTGCACTCGGACTGGCCGTCACCTGGCCACGTTCACCCGTCGGCCTGGGTCGAGTCTGTACACACTGACTACTGCGCCTCCTCAGGTCGCTGCGTCTGCTCAGGTGTCCGCGTCAGGTCTGGTAGCTGCCTCGTGCTCGTGTCGCCTCCTGTCGCACCAGACTCTCCTGTGGCACCACCGCCTTGGTCACCCCTCCCTGCCACGCCTCCGTGGCATGCACTCCTGTCTTCTTGTCTTTGGTCTTCCCAGGTCTCTACCTCCCATCCCAACCTCGCCTGCCCCACCATGCATTCCTTGCATCGAGGGGCGGCAGCGCGCCGCTCCTCACTCCTCCTCGTTTCCCCCGACGATTGCTCCCCTGCAGACTCTCCACATGGACGTGTGGGGCCCAGCCCGCGTTAGTGGACAGGGCCGCGAGCGATAATTTCTGCTGGTTGTTGACGACTACTCGCGTTACACCACTGTCTTCCCCTTGCGCAACAATGGGGAGGTCCCTGATGTCTTGATCCCTTGGATCCGCGCTGTTCGTCTCCAGCTCCGCGAGCGGTTCCGCATGGACCTTCCTGTCCTGCGTCTGCACTCTAACAGAGGTGGTGAGTTCTCCTCCGACCTCTTGCGGGACTTTTGTCAGGGGGAGGGCATCCTCCAGTCGTTCACGCTTCCGGCCTCCCCGCAGCAGAATGAGATTGCGGAGTGCCGCATTGGCTTAGTCATGGAGGTGGCTCGTACCTCCATGATCCATGCGGCTGCTCCCCATTTTCTGTGGCTGTTTGCGGTCCGGTACGCTGCGCATCAGCTCAACCTCTGGCCCCGTGTCTCCTTGCCGGAGACCTCGCCTACACTGCGTTGGACGGGGAAGGTTGGCGATGCGTCGGTGTTCCGGGTCTGGGGCTCTCGTGCCTTTGTCCGCGATACCTCAGTGGACAAGCTCTCCTCCCGCACCATTCCCTGTGTCTTCCTTGGCTTCCCTCCTGACGCGCCTGGCTGGCAGCTTTACCACCCCACCTCGCGCGGTGTCCTACCCTCTCTACCGTCTCTTCTCTTATCGCTCTGCCCCGCTCCCCCCCCCGCCGCTCTTCCTTGCTCCAGGTCCCCCTCCGGTAGACCCCCTTCCCCCTCAGGGTCCTGCTCCTTCAGGTGTCTCTCAGGTAGACCCACTTCCCTTAGCTGAGCCTGTCGAGGTCACTGGTGACTCTGGTGCTGCTGGGGGTGGTGCTGCTCGGGGTACTGCGTCTGGGGGTGCTGAGCCCGAGCGTGTAGAGCCTGGGGGTGCTGAGCCTGTGCGTGTAGAGCCTGAGGGTGTTGCGCCTAGAGGTGCTGCGTCTGGGGGTGCTGAGCCTGGGGGTACTGAGCGTGGGGGTGCTGCGTCTGCTGGTAGTCCTCCAGGTACCTCGCCGCAGCGGTCTAGCCAGCGAGAGCCTCTCTCGCCCTAGCAGCTGCGCGAGTGGTTTGCTTGGCGCACCAGCCTTCGGAGTCGCGCTATGGGAGTTGGAGGTACAGGAGCTGCAGGCACTCGTGTGGAGGTACTGGAGCTGGAGGCACTCGCGCTGGAGGCACTGGAGCTAGGGGCACTGGCACTGGAGGCGCTGGAGATGGAGGTGCTGGAGCTGCAGACGCTGGAGGTGCTGGAGGTGCTGGAGCTGGAGGCACTGGAGCTGGAGGCGCTGGAGCTGGAGGCCCTCGAGCTGGAGGCACCAACGCTGGAGTTACTGGAGCTGGAGGTACTGGTGGTACTGGGGTTTTTAGTCCTGGAGGCACTGGTGCTGGAGGCATTGTGGAGGCTCTCTCACCACAGCAGCTGCGCGAGTGGTACGCTCGGCGCACCCGCCTTCGGAGTCGCGCTGCTGGAGCTGGAGGCGCTGGAGCTGGAGGCACTGGGGCTGGAGGCGCTGGAGCTGGAGGCACTGGCGCTGGAGGTACTGGAGCTGGAGGCGCTGGCGCTGGAGGCGCTGGAGCTGGAGGCACTGGACGTGGAGACGCTGAAGCTAGAGGCGCTGGTACTGGAGGCGCTAGAGCTGGAGGCGCTGGAGCTGGAGGTGCTGGAGCTGGAGGCCCTGGAGCTGGAGGCGCTGGAGCTGGAGGTGCTGGCGCTGGAGGCGCTGGAGCTGGAGGCACTGGAGCTGGAGACGCTGGAGCTGGAGGCGCTAGCACTGGAGGTGCTGGCGCTGGAGGCACTGGAGTTGGTGACGCTGGAGCTGGAGGCGCTGGAGCTGGAGGTGCTGGCGCTGGAGGCACTGGGACTGGAGACGCTGGCGCTGGAGCCGGTGGCGCTGGAGCTGGAGCTGGTGGCGCTGGAGCTGAAGGTGCTGGCGCTAGAGACCCTGGAGCTGAAGGCGCTGGTGCTGTGGGCACTGTGCAGCAGCGCCCGTTTTTCTTGCCGCCGCCGCAGCTGTCCGACCTACCGCCTGAGTCGGTGCTCCGTTAGGTTCTTAGTCTTCCTTCGTCCACTGCCCTTCCTCCCGACTCACCCCTGCCTGCCCCGCCTCGTTACACTGAGCAGCCAGCCTCCCTTACAGAGCGTCGTGAGCTTGCATCTCGTCCTGCCTCCCCTGTTCGCACTGTTCGTCGTGCTCGTCGTGTCCCTCGTCCGCGTCCTCCTCCTGTGCCAGGTACTCACACTATGGCACTTCGTCTTTCCTCTGTTCCGCAACGTGTCCCTCTGCCATCTCCTCCTGCGTCCTCTCTTCCTGACGTTCCAGACCCTGAGTTTGACTTGGTCCATGCTACCAGTCCTACTGTCACGCGTCTCCTGGCTACTGTCGTTACTGACCCGTCGTTTGAGTCTACTGCTGCGTCTGCCTTAGTTGCTGAGCTTGTGGACTTTGCTGTTGCTTGTCGTCTCGACTACGCTGCTAGTCTTGTTGCTGAGTCTGAGTCTGTCTGTCCTCCGTCCGTCGAGGGTGAGTGTGCTCTTGGCACGGACGTCTTTGAGGACAGGCAGGAGGACTTTGACTGTCTTGCGGCTGCTGTACCTCATCTCGTGGCCTGGCTGCTTGCGCCTGAGGGAGACCCGGATGCACTGGACATCCCGACCCCGCGCTCTTACGCAGAGGCGATCACGGGTCCCTACTCCTCTCAGTGGCAGACAGCCATGGACGCAGAGATAGCATCCTGGAAGTCCACAGGCACCTACGTCGACGAGGTTCCCCCTCCTGGGGCAAACATAGTCGATGGCATGTGGATTTTCAGGGTGAAGCGGCCGCCGGGTTCTCCGCCTGTCTTTAAGGCTCGTTACGTTGCTCGAGGCTTCAGTCAGCGACAGGGAGTTGACTACTTCTAAACCTTCTCCCCTACCCCAAAGATGACCACTCTTCGGGTTCTGCTACACGTTGCTGCTCAGCGTGACTACGAGCTTCACTCTCTTGACTTCAGCACAACTTTCTTACAGGGCAGCCTGCACGAGGAGATATGGCTGCGCCGCCCACCTGGCTTCACTGGGTCGTTTCCTACAGGTACCTAGTGGAGCCTCCGGCGGCCAGTCTATGGTCTCCGCCAGGCGCCTCGTGAGTGGCACGACACACTGAGGACGACACTTGCGGCTCTCGGGTTTGCTCCTTCGACTGCTGACCCGTCGCTGTTTCTGCGCACAGACACTTCGCTGCCGCCGTTCTACATCCTCATGTACGTCGACGACTTGGCTTTTGCCACTGCTGACACTGAGGCACTGGCCCTTGTGAAGTCGGAGCTACAGAAGAGACACACGTGCACAGACCTGGGTGAGCTGCACAGCTATCTTGGCTTGCAGATCACCCGGGATAGAGCACGCCACACCATTACCCTGACTCGAACAGATGGTGCAGCAGGTCCTTTAGCGCTTCGGCTTCCAGTTCTCCTCACCACAGTCCACTCCTCTTCCTACCGGTCACTCGCTCTCAGCTCCACCTTTGGACGAGTCCGTAGAGTCGAGTGGCCCGTATCCAGAGCTTGTGGGCTGCCTCATGTACCTGATGACCTGCACTCGACCTGACCTTGTGTACCCTCTTAGCATCCTGGCTCGCTACGTTGCACCTGGAAGACACAGGCGAGAGCACTGGGAGGCTGCTAAGAAGGTGCTGGGGCTAAGAAGGTACTTGTGGAGTACATTAGGCATGGGGCTAGTGCTTGGAGGATAGGATCGAGTTGTCCTCACTGGACACCCAGACGCTCTTGGGTTGACGACCTGGCTACGCAGCGGTCGTCTCAGGGTTACACCTTCAGCCTTGGTTCCGGCTCTGTTTCTTGGCGGTCTACCCGCTCTTCCTCTGTTCTCAGCTCCAGTTGTGAGGCTGAGATCTACGTAGGAGTCATGGCTGCACAGGAGTTACGCTGGCTCACCTACCTGCTGACTGACTTGGGAGAGCGGCCTAGTTCTCCTCCAGTTCTGTACGTAGACAACAAGGCTGCTATTGCCTTGTATCAGGAGCACAGAACAAAGCACATCGCTCTGCGCTACTTCCTGGCTCGAGAGTTGCAGCAGCGTGGCCAGCTTCGTCTTGCTTACGTGGCCACTCGGGCCAACACAGCTGATATCTTCACCAAGGCACTTCCGCTTGGTGATCATCAGCGTCTGTGTACTGCTTTAGGCCTTGTGCCTACGTTTGCTCACTTGCTCACTGCGTGACCTTGCTTGTACTGTGATCTATATATATATACCTGCATGCTTTCACTTGCTAGGTTGTGATCACTGTACTGTTTGCTTTGTTTTATGTAACTATGCATGTGAACTGACCTTGTAGCCATCTGCTTGCGCTCGGAGTGTGTGGTGACGTTGTGATCCAACCTGAGCTTGTTTTGCTTTTTCTGTAACTGCTTGTACTCCACCACCTTGCCTATGGAGGTGTCAGAACATTGTGCTGTGTAGGCTGTAGTGGGGTAGCCAATATGGGGTACAACCCAATTAGGGTTAGTACTTGTACCAACTTTCTGATCAATGCTTTCCTCCCTGCTGCTAGATTCTGACATCAACGTGGTAAGAGTTAATGAAATTGTAAGCATACTTAGTCGGTGTTGTTAAATTGCTACCATCTTTTGGGGATTCATGTTAGAACCAGGTGAGAATTGAACGCGTGTAAGGCTTACACGTTCGCAATTAGTGAGCTCGAAGCAGTAGTTTTGAGTTAAGTCATGGTAGACGTTGCTTTGTCTGCGCACTGGCGACACGGAAAAGGGAGAGCGACAACAGGAGCAGTGGATGGAATACGGATCAGAAAACCAGCAACGGAGCAATGGAATCCATTGTGGCATTTCCTTGTGTTGAACGTGTTGATAACGCGTACGAAAAGATGATGCGGACAAGAATCGAGAACGTCAACAAGAGCGACGCATGCAGCGAGAGAGTTTGTCGTACATAAGTGCTGCCAGTTTGGAGTAGATGGTGCCCTGCGATGGCACCGCAGGTGAGAGAGCGCAGCACTGCGCGGGACACGACATGCACAAGATATTAGGGTTAAGTCACTCGACAAGGCGCTGCGAACCCCAGATGAGTAAACCCTAGAAAGCATGACGCATATTTTCCCGTGTAACGTAGGGAGGGTGGAAGCAACAGTTGGTGGTGAGCAGAGGGACCAGGGTACCCGCATTCGCGGTGAGGAAAGGGTAAGGCTCATGATACTCGAGGACGAAGGATCAGCGAATGTTTAACTCTCCAGCAAGAACGAACGCGGGTCGCAGCGACATCTGGGCCATGGCGGTTAGGAGGTAGTATATTTGCGAGCGCTGATAGTACTTGAAAAGAAATGGAGGCTCGAACTGGCTGAAATAAAACTGAATTTGCTGAAGAAAAGCGCAGGTGCTTCTTATACTCGTTCGCCGAGCTGTCTACTCGTGTTACAACACCAGCACGCAGGTATGGAGGGGTCTACATCGAGGCGCGTCGGGCACCATTCGCCGTGGAAGCCGCTGCTACTCGACTCAAGGCCACTGTATGGGTCAAGTACTACGAGACTCGCGGACCGACACATGTGAATCGCCCTCGGAGGGCGGTTCCAGGTGACGTCATGTTATCGCCGATAGATCTAGCTCCTGCCTTGCAGTGGATGGCGGCCGTCACTGATAACATCTACACGTGCTGAAAAGGCAAGGTGTTGCTGCGTTTCTCTTCTACTTTCTCCTGAAATCTGAAGCTTCAAATCCCATTTCACGCCATGTGACAATGGCAGACCGCACTGGCAGTACTCAGGCTTTTCGAAATGTTCAGTTCGGTGAAGCCAGAATATGATGCCGCAAATGATGCTGTCAAGGAAGCCGTGTTCGATGGGCTGATTACTCGCTGAACCTCAAAAAATTGTATTAGAACCTTCTTGGAACGTTCTGAAACGTACCAAAGCATTTGTAACAACGACAATCTGGTACACACAATGCTCAACCCCTGCACGCAAATTTGCCCTGCACCGGATGGAAAGCCTGCACACGTGTTTTTTTTCCCAGCCAGTTGCACCCACGTTACAAGCACCTCGCTCAAGTTGCAGCAATTCTGAACCAGTAGAAACAAAGGGACCGAAGTCAAACTGAAGAGACTGAAGTCAAAATGTCAACGGAGAAGTTAAATTACCTTATAAGCACCTGACGAATCCTTTTTTTGCTAGCTGCAAACTGACGAAACCTTTGCGGAATGTGCAGAATCACTTACAAGCCCCCTTCACAAGGCAACATCGGGTTAGTCAAGCGAGCATCATTTGTACCAGGCCTTGTCATGGACGGGACAACAGAGTTTGTGCTGTTCATTACAGGTGCCGCGTCCCGTGCATGTCTGATTACCGATTTGGGGATGTGCGGTATAGAAAGTTTCGTTCCAGATTTACACATACAGTTCATGGTTGGAAAACTAATTTGGGTAAAACGATAGGAGTGTAAGATTAGCAAGGGTAGACATTTAAGTAGTGGGGAATTTACAGTTTGCTTAAGTGTTTGTAAAATTTTGTATTCATTTTGCACATTCGATTTCACCATGTACAACAGTGTTCGCAACATGCCCTTATTTATCAGCATAAAACATGCTGATTACGCTCATTCTGCAGTTTTTTTTTTCTTTCCCTGAAAGTTCAGTATGTTGTATATCTTAGCACACTGATCTTTTCACTATAGTTTAGGGGAACACACTTAGGGGGGTACACAATTCCCTTGCAAAACCTGAAATCTTTCGTGAGCGCAGGTCGAACTTACGAGGAAACGGAATTCGAACCCTTAATCGTCAATATGTCAAGTTGAAACTTCAACCATCTGCGCTACTCAGGATGTATTTTACAACAGCTCCAATTTTGGAAAACCATATATCAGTAAGCCTAACAGCAGAGCATTGAGAAATCAGGATAAATGTTTCAGGTAGCACTGATTGATCAGAGTAATTTTTTTTTTTTTTTTTTTTGTAGGTGCAGCATTGACTGATCTGCATGCCCCGAAACCAATCTGAGGGCCTGGTTCGTGAGCTCGGCCTTCCTTCGCCCTTTG